GGACCATCTCACAAGACCCGCGTACGCCTCGTAGCTATGTGACTATACCTTTACCGACCCGCTCAAGCCCCGTAGCTATGTGACTCTACCTTTACCGACCCGCTCAAGCCCCGAAGCTATGTGACTCTACCTTTACGGTTACCTAAGTGCTGGTTCACCGACTGACCAAGTGCTCGACTATAAAGAATGTCGCCGAGATTGCACGGAGGAGGCTGTCTACTTTCCCCTTTTTACCAAGCAATGGTCGGTAGATTAAGTTTAGGTTCTTTTTTATTTTATTTTCCATTGTCGTTGATTGACAACGGTCTTCTTTTTGAAATGCCTATTTTATGTTTTTAAAAACTATTTATTATTAGTTATGCAAAAGATGTAGGTACCTACTAAACTTATTTTTTGCATTAAGAATAATTGCATTGAATTTGTTTTCCCGGAAAAGTCCTTACTTCCTTACATGAAGATTGTTATCCATATTTGTAAAAAAAATTGTTCTTTCATTAGTTGTGCCTAATTGAAATTCAAGAAGTCATTAGGTATTTTTTTTATTATGTAGCCATTTTCAATTGCAAATTGTTTACCATTTAGGAAATGTTTCGATGCATCTGATGAATATTCCTTATTTCGAAACCACTAGTATTCTCTGGTGAAAATAAGACAGAATTTGTATAACTTAAGCAAATGGAAACTCGCTACTATTTCACAATTACTAAATATTCTGCAACCTAAAGCGACATTCAAATGCAAGGAAAGTTGGCTTTTTGACACCAAGTTGTTAAAATTTTGTAAAACAATTGAAAACTCAGAGAAAATTGTAAATGTAAAATTAGTCGAAAAAGTTAATGTAAGTTACCTATTTACCTAACTGTACTGTCATTATTACAAAATTAGTTACTACACACATAACCAGATTCAAAGATAAGTAGCTATACGTAAATAAAATAAAAGTTTTTCTGGACTTTCCCAAATAGAGAATAACTAGTTTATGTATCACCTCTATTAATTTCATAATCGTCTCTATGCAATTATGGATCCTTCCATATGCAAATTATGAGGTAACTAATAATTAAAGACAAGTTTGTACAAAACCGGATTTGCTCGAAATCAAAAGTTCTATTTTTTAAAACATCGGGCCGTTTTTTTCAAACAGGTTGTTTCTTATTTTTATTGCTAAACTATTTAATGACTCTACTTTTATGTTGCCAGCCACGTGCGAATTGACGATTGACAAACTGCTCACAATTCGTGAAGAAATATTTTCCATGGCATGACATGTCCAGAAAGCATGATTTCCACTTAAAGAGGCTAAAAGGAGATTGGTCAAATACATCTCGGAGTCTTCATTACTAATCTAACCAAAATGTGACTAATCAAAACAATAGTTGTTTAGTGTCTCGTTTTGAGTTAGATCTTGTGCTATCAAATAATCAAGTCAATTACATAAAAAACACAGGCAAAAATTTTCAAGTGCAGGCTGCTACTAACCGGGCGATGTGGGAGAGGCCTATGTTCTATGAGGCAGTGGACGTTTTGAAGCTGAAAGGACATCATTTTTTTTGGGCCTTTTCTAAAAGTGCCGGCCAACGTCATGAACGGAAATATGGTACGTATTGTTAGAACTAGCTATTTGGAGCAATAGTTAATATGGCACAAAAGTTTTAGGACCGCTCTAAACCTGGTCTCAAATAAGACTCAGCCCAATTTTTCTTATTCCAGTTTCATTTTATCCAGTACAAATCCAGTATTGTTACCTAAATGGAGCTGATGTTGGCAACGAGTGATTTTATACTAGCCTTGAAATCCGCGCTGTAATGAATGAATAATTCATAGTGTTGACATAACCCATCCAAGCTGTTGCGCTACGGTATGTTTGAGCAATCAATCTGCTGCCATGGGTTTAGCCATGGCTAACATATCGCTAAAGCAATACAAACCTTATTTAAACAATCAAAGACGATTTTCATTTGTCTTATTTAGTTAGTTTTCAGCATACGGTATGTTGTTCATGAGTGTATCTAATCGCCCGTATTCACATACGATGTTTGCTTAAGTGAAGCAGCAACTCGAACTCACAGCGTTGAATAGAGCTCTGGGATTGGTTCGTGTATCACCTTATGCGTCCACGCCACGCGCACTGTGAGACGTCATAGTAATGTTTGAGAATACGGGCGTAAGCCACCTAAGCAGTAGGTAATGTATCTAATTACTAAGTATTAGGGTTAATTTTAGGTAGCAGGGCTTTCATTAAATTGTGTGCAACTATAAATTATTTCTAATTGGGCTATGATGAAAAGCATGTCGAGATACAGCATGGCGTTCAACTGGCCAACAGCTTAGAGATAATTTTAATTTATGGTATTATTTTAATCGCTTGCCGCAGTGCAAGAAGGTGTAAATTGCCATAGACAAACAGTGTTACAACATGAAATAAATGGTATTACTTTAAAGTAAGAGCTTTTAGTAAACTTGAGATTGAATAGTAAAATGTACGTAACTTATGATTACTTATGTTTTTGTAACTAATGTAGTTTAATATTGACCTAAATACTTAACAATGAACATTAAAAGATCACGATGCACAAAATGAAAGCACTATCCGAGCTTATTAGAAAGAGAGAGCGATATTTTCACTTTCTACCGGTAAAAGTAACCTACCCTACATTTTTGGCGTTTGCAAATCTGTGCGAAGTGCTCGTATAATTTGCAAGAAAGTCATGATCATCATGACAGTGTTGCATAATGATCATGGCATGATCATGATGCAATGCTTATTTATACTTTTTATGATTGTGTTGGCTAAATCTTAAAATGTGTGTAATGGTTTTGACGACTTTCTCACATATACTCAAAAGATGTAAATATTTAGCAAATTCTGAAACAAAACATTATAATTACAGTCTATAATCATTTATAATAACGTTGGTTATTTTATTTCAGATTAAAAATAACGGAGTCAATTTATTTCTCAATTTATTTCCATAAACATCTTATAAAATTATGATTTATTCGTAGACTAACAGATAAGGTATTTTAAAACATTAGATAATCAATAGAACCTTAGGTCCTTATTTGTCCTAATAAATAGGTAAATAAATAACTTCAGTAAACAATTGATCTTAAGTGCAAATTGGAAAACCAAATGATTACAATCTTGATGAACCTTGGCATCTTCAAGTAGGCTACTTAAAACCTGAAAACCTTGATAGTACATGATAAAGTTTCATAATACTGGTTAAGTAGGTACTTATAATTTAATTCTCATGTCGATGTGAAAAAAGAATGACATTTTTATCGATCTCCATTAACAGGGGTCATCAGGGGTGTCGCCAAAAGTGCTATGCGATTTAACTAATCAAATTGACTATCAAATAACTAAAAGCTTTTTCAAGCCTGTAATTAATATATTGATTGAAATCAACTCTATTAATACAAGCTTTAAGTTAGAATTAAGTTTGGTATAAATCATTGATTTTAATCAAGAACATTGTAATGGTCATGAGAACGTGGAACGTAACGTGGTATTCCAAGTAAAAGTTAATATTGACCTGTATGAAAAAAGCATTTAATTTTGTAACTTTACACACCCATTTATATTTGAAATATACAATTACAATTAACGATTCATGATTCAAATCTTTAATGCAATTTACTTTACAAGATATAATATGAATTGAGCAATTTATTTTTACAATATCAAGAACTAAACATAATTATTATTACGCTCCACGATTTAATTGTTTAGCTATTGTTGTCTACTACAATCATTTTATCTAGCTCAATCTCGAATAACGTACATAAATTAATGTACAAAACGTGCGGTGTTATTTATTAATGCAGCTAGACGTTCTACACTAGTTGTCTCGTCTAATTTCAGTGTCTTCTGGAGTATTTTGCTATGCAGCTTTCTAAGATTAGTTACTTTTTATGAACTAGATTTGGTTTTTGGGCCTGACAAACATATTCAATTTTTTTTATACAGGTTGTCCCAAAATTTGCACGTCGCACTGACACACTGGAGGTAGCTGGCCTAAGATCCGATGATATAGAACAAACAAGCCTAATTATGTCCATAGAAAAGTTTGGTGAGTTTGAACTATGTATAACTTTTTGGGACACCCTGTATAAAACTTAAAAAATATCAACTACTTAATATTTTCTGATAGACGTACAAAGAAAATTATGTTACGTAGGTATTAATACCTACCTAACATAAATTTAACATAATTTACTTAAGTAAATCACCGGTAATGGCTCTACTTATTCTTTATAGTCCTAATAACCATCATAAAATATACTACACATAGAACAATATTATAGGTAAATTAACACAGAACCAGTAGGTAGCTTCGCTCAATAAAACCAATCATCTTGTGATACCACTAACGTTTACGTAAGTTTTAAGTTAGCCTTCTCACTCCACGACAGTTCCTTATCCCAACCGGTCCCGTGGCACCATTGCGGTGCCCGCCTCACCCACTTTCCAATACGGAAAATGTGTGCTACAATAGTCTGTTTACTCTATGGATGCGATTCGAATTTGGAACATTTTTATTTTTAAAAAGTTTGATGAGAAGAAAAAAGTTTGGTTAATGTTGTAGAAAAATAAATAATGCTTTGGAGTGGCCAGGTTCTTGTCGATTTTTTTTAGATCCGTATGGACTCTTATAACACCGAATTAATATTTTTATAGAATTACTATTTGCGTGCGAATCGTTACAAATTGTAAGATTTATATTTACATCGATGCTACTAATGGATAAGCAAATGGCCGTAATTTGATTAATTAATTACAAGAAATAACAATTACTCTTACTTTAAATTATTTGTTTGTAATTTTATAAACATTTATTGCACAAACTCATTCATGCCTATAATTTATTTGGAATGTAACGACTCTACATTCTTTAGCGTGCTTAATTTCCATATATTAAATTAACATTACTAATTACGTAAATAAGTCAAAAAACAATACTGTTAAAAACTAATTTAAAACAAAAAATATTTACCTATTAACCGTTGCAGTAGAAAAATTCCAAAAAGGTCTGTTCCAGGATAGGTGTGTTCACTAGTACGGTTTTTGAACTATATTTTATTTTAAACACTACACGTAAAGAGGTACTAGGAGAGTAGAAGTACTAAGCGATGGCTACCCACCGCACCGAGTGTCGGCATAACACTGGCCACCGTCACGTCTACCAAAGCTATCGAACAAGACCGTGATTATCTTTAGACTTTCTACCAAGAAAAACACCTGAAATAGCTGACATTATAAATGACTTAATTGGAGGAAAACCTCGTTGGAACAATTGTTTTTTAAATCTTAAAAAAAATTGGCGCGATTTCATCACAACCGGTTGCATGGTCATCTCTCTTTAAAAACTTTCTTTGACCCCAATTACATGGAGCTGTTACATTTTTGTGATCAGTATTTTTCTCAGGGAGCTATTTTCAATAAAAGTAAGCTCAGTTCACAATTTCTGCGTACTTATTAGTTTACGAAAAACTAATTATTTAATAATTAAATAATAAGATCTAACGCGTTGAACTCTTTTCTTCCTAAATTACATTTCTTCAAATCGTCTCCTATCTTTCTTCTGATTATTTTAACTTCTCTTATGACAAACACAGCCTTTACTGATTGAGTTTTGCTTAAGCTTAATGCCTTAAGAAATTTTCTTCCAGCCAACTTTTTGGCTCAACAGAAATGAAATTATTTTTGTTGTAATTTCTTTCTATTTATGACACACTGTCTGAGTGGCGGTGATACGCAAAACCATGGTTATACAATACAACAATCTGTGTCACACAAATTATCACTTTCCCGCCATTGCGCCAAGGTTGTGATCTGTGGTGCGCACGAACGCAACGCGCCCTTGTGCCCGATGTGGCGAATCTCTGATGACCAAGGCTACATACATCATTTGTATCGGATGATTTGTGCAGTTGCGTGCGATTTTATTTTAATAATGTGAATTGATTATGTTTGTTTTTTATTTAATTAAGTTTTGAGGAGTTTCCGCGCAAGATATAATCAAAATGTGGATCCGTAGGAGAATTAAGTGACCCCTACAGTCCGCACAACCAAGTGGCAGTGGGCGGGGCACATAGTTCTTAGAATAGATGGCTGTTGATGCAGTATGTAGTACACAAATTGCGCACGACACCTTATCACCCTCAAAGTAACGGCATGATTGAGCGGTGGCATAGAGCACTTAAAGTGGCTTTGATGGCACGCTTACAACGCAACGGTAGCGCATATGTACTCTTGAGTCGCAACTCGCAACCACGTGTCGGAAGACGTAAATTTCAGATCCAAGTAGCACACAGGACCGGTTGCTGTGGAACTGCTTGGGGACCATTCTGCGCACAGCAGGGTTTTTTCTGGATGAGAAGGAGAAAGAAAAGTATAATTTGAGATGATTGGATTTACAAAATTAATAACAAGTAAGGTCTTTTTAGTAATTAAATCAAACTTTTAATAAATTTTATTATGGCAAACCTTAAAGTTTTAGCCGATTCTTAATTAATAACAAATAAAAAAACAACAGACTGAGAATATTAAATTTTTCTAGATAAAACGTAGTAGGCTTGTAACGGACCGCAAGCAATCGGGGTGTCAACTGTCATCGCTCCAGCTGGCTGTCAGTGTATATTACTGTCAGATGTGAAAACAAGAAAAATGGCGGCGCAGGTTCCTCTGGGTATCAAAACCCATGTTCAAAAGATTTGCTCTGTTTACAAGCAGACCTTACGTAACTTGGAGGCATTCTATGACAGGCGGTAATTATTCTACATTTTATCCAAAATATAGGGTCCTTTGTACGTCCCGTCTATTTACATTACATAATAACATAACCTATTCTTCAATTTTATTTTCAGATTTCTTGAAGATTTTCATTTTACCTGAGCCCTATTTTATGCCTATCCTTATTCTCCTGAAGGTCTTTTATTTTAACATTCCTTTACATACTTTGTTTTGGAATATTTAGTATTGTACCTATTATTTATATTTTGTTATCTTAGATTCAAACTAAACAATGATCTTTTTTACTTGAATTTTTGTAGTTTTATCATTTTTATTTGATCAGAACTTATGTATTATTATATTGTCTATTCATGTAGTAAAGTAACTTCTATTAGTTAGCCATTATACCTAATTATTGTTTATTGTTGTTTGATCAGTCTACTAATACCTAGTTTACCAATAATTCTGTATGTTCCCTAGTTACTCAGGGCATAAATTGAGTATAATCAATAACTAATCTTCTATTTTCCAGTAATGTCTACCGCTACCATGCTGTGCAAATGCGTGTGCGTTTCGATGAGATTGTGAATGAGAAGGATTTCCGCAAGTCCCAGGAAATGCTGAAGCTAGCACAAGAGGAACTGTTCCTTACGCAGCATCCTATCCCTAAGAAGTGTAAGTTGATTAGGTGGAACTAATAACTTAATAGACGAAATATTTTAGATTTTTGTCCATCTAAAATTCTGAATAGAATAGTACTTAATCCATGATAAAAATTACAAACCATATTTTTGGGTAACTTTAGCCCTAGAGGGCAACTTTAGCTCAAGACAAAAGAGGATTTAATTTCCTACCTCTTCACAGCAATGTTGATAAATGTTACATAGCATTACTGGAGCCTATTTATAAAAAAAGGTAGCAAGATAGTTTACTCAATTTCAACACTTTTGTTGAGCCAAAATTGCCCTCAAGGGCTAAAGTAACCTACCAGGATTTTTTGATAGTTGCCAGAAAATTTTGTCTTATAAGAGTAGGCGCACACCGTTGATTTTTAGTTGGCCGATAGTTTAGTCGGGCAGTTGATCAGTATAGGCATGTATGCGAGTGCGCACACTACGCCGATTCGATTTGGGCGATTCTTCATACAAATTAAAATCGGGCACAACTATCGGCCAACTAAAAATCAACGGTGTGCGCCTACTCTAAGTCTTGCTCAGCAACAAACCAGTAACCTTTCTCTTTCTTCCAGTCCCCCTCAGTCCTGGCGGTGTCGCATATGAGCGTATCGTGAACCCTCCAGATTGGGTCCTGGACTACTGGCATCCTCTCGAAAAAGCCCAGTATCCGGAATACTTCAAGAAACGTGAACAGAGAAAGAAGGAGTTTATAGCCATGTGGGAGAAGGAATATGGCAAATATGACCCTAAGATCGAACACCATTAAACATTGTATAGTAGTCTATGATAGTAAATTAATTGTTATTGTATTTTTTGGTATTTTTTTATTTCTTCCATTCAAAAATTATTATTTTCTACCTACTTTCTATCTACTTTTATGAACTTAGCGCCAGGTGAAAATAGGTATTTTTTTTAAATAGGTTCTAGTAGGTAGTTTAAAATACATGCACAGAAGTTTTATAAGTCTCAAATTTTTTCGCATTCGAGAAAAAATACAGACCGCCTATTATAAAAGAAAAATGGACAGCAAGCGAATGTAAACTTAAGTTTTTTCTAGCCAACCAAACTAATATGGTTTACCATTTAATAACTTCCCCTACCATAAAGACGGGACACGAAGAGTCGAATTAAACCAGAACCACAGACAAGAGAGATTAGAGATAATATTATTAATCTGTGGTACAGTGATTCAAACAACAATGGCGGCTGAACATACGGATCAAAAATTTAATGGAAGCGAAAATAATTCAAGTACAGCTCCATATTTGCGTGAAATGATCGAGTTAAAAGACAGGTATTATGACAAATTATTAGAATCGTATAATTCTCAAACGGGTCCAGTAGTAAAACCGTGGACGAAGGATAAAGTATTTGAGGTTATCGAGCATATCAAAGCCGCTAAGGTGGCCATGGAATCTGATCATCGACGGAATCCTATTCGATACTGGCATTTGAGGTACGATGTTATTAAAATTGCAGAAAAAGACGTTCTTATTATGAAAAAAACCAGCCCAGATTGCCCAGTTGTACAGGTGATGCCAATGGAGGATTATTATGACGTTCTTTTAGATATTCATACAGAATTTGGACACTGCAATAGCGCCAAATTTCAGGATATTATCAGAACTAAAAATCTTATTATTACCAAAAAAGCAGTTGACGTATTTGTGTCCCTATGCCCCATCTGCGATTCGCAATTAAGCGGAAATTACAATATAAGTGGTTGCATTGGTATTATTGATATGCAATCAGTGCCAGATGGCCAATTTAAGTGGATTATCTATTATCAAGATCAAGCTACCAAGTTTATTCATGTCAGACCGCTCTGTTCAAAAGAAGGGAGCGAAGTTGCTTTCGAATTGCTTAAAATATTTCTGGATTTCGGAATGCCGTACATTTTACAAAGCGATAATGAATTGGACCCTACTAAAGTCGTTGAGGAATTGATAAAATTGTGGCCTGAATGTAAGAAAATAAATGGCGTTCCTTTGCCTCTGCAGACGCAACGCAGTGAAGATTCCATTAGTCAGGAAATTGAGAATTTGATTTGGGCTTGGATGCGGGATAATATTACATCGGAGTGGGTTACTGGTTGTTTTTTCGTACAGTACAATAAAAATACGCTATTTGATAGCAAATTGAAAAGAACGCCATTTCAGGCTACTTTTAGATCAGAGCAAAATTGTTCGGGTATTTCTTTGATTTCACAGGGAACTAACACGTCAATTATGGTAACTGAAAACACAGGAGGGTCTCGAACTATATCCACACAAGTTTCTCCTAAAGCTAAAAAACGGAAAATTAATCCAGCATCACCAATATACGTATCAATGTCACCAGGATACTCACCCACGACACCGCCACATCAAAACCAGAATAATGCAGCAGATCAATCGTCCAAAACTAAAGAGTCACCAGTATATGCACCATCGTCACCAGTATATTATGCACCAACGTCACCACGATACTCACCAACGATACCACCACATTTAGCAACGTCTCCAGTTTACGCTCCAACGTCACCTTCATACCAAAACCAGAATAATGAAGCGCAATCGTCCACAACTAAAGCGTCACCAACATATGTAGCAACGTCACCAGTATACGCTCCAACGTCACCAACATACGGGACAACGTCTCCAGTTTACGCTACAACGTCACCTTCATACCAAAACCAGAATAATGAAGCGCAATCGTCCACAACTAAAGTGTCACCAACATATGTAGCAACGTCACCAGTATACGCTCCAACGTCACCAACATACGGAACAACGTCTCCAGTTTACGCTCCAACGTCACCTCCATACCAAAACCAGAATAATGAAGCGCAATCGTCCACAACTAAAGCGTCACCCACATATGTAGCAACGTCACCAGTATACGCTCCAACGTCACCAACATACGGAACAACGTCTCCAGTTTACGCTCCAACGTCACATCCATACCAAAACCAGAATAATGAAGCGCAATCGTCCACAACTAAAGCGTCGTATGTAGCAACGACACCAGTATACGCTGTAAGGTCACCATCACCAACATACGGAGCAAAGTCTCCAGTATACGTTCCAGCGTCACTATTATACACATCTGTGTCAACTTCGTGTCAAAACCAGAATCCTTACAGCACGAGAATGTCTTCACCAGTCTACATAGTACCTCCTTCACCACCATATCAACTAAATAAACCAGACCCTGTACAACAGAGCACGCAAAAGTTGGAGACAGACAACGCCAAAAACGAAGAAATTAATCAACAAATACTACAATATCTCAAAAAACATCTTCCAATCACCGCCATAGACCAACTATTTCGTAGTTATGCAGAAACTTATAAATCGTTTCCACCTGTAATACAAGCAGAACTAATGATGGAGATTGCGAAGTTGTTTTCAGAGAAACAGATGGAGGTTCTACGAAATAACACCAATGTGAACAATAACGCTTGTACCTCAATGGATTTGGACTCAAATAGATAAACGAATAATCTAAATGTAATCTACAACTCGATTGAGCTAACTGCGCACCTCGCTGGAATGCAAATCTCTCCCTCGCACTCACCCGCACCACAGAATAAGTAATAGTACAGGTACAGAAGNCGAAGGAGATGCATATCCTCTGGCGAAACAAATCGTTAAATCGCACGTGTATGTCGACGATGTGGTTTGCGGATTTGACAGCTTTGACGTTGCTCAAGAAGCAAAGACGCAACTTATCAAACTTTTTAACTTGGGTCGTTTTGAATTGCGGAAGTGGGTTAGCAACGAACCGCAGCTCTTGTCTGATTTGCCCATTGAACTACACCTGCAAGGTTCAGTATCTCTTGACCAAGTGGAACCCTCGCCGTTGAAGGTTCTCGGCCTTAAATGGGACCCTTCATCCGATTCTTTTCTTTTCTCAGTAAAACCTGAAGGTAAAACGTGCACAAAACGTTCTATTCTAAGCGAACTCGCTCGGATTTTTGATCCCCTAGGCTTTCTTTCACCAATCACAATCCAAGCTAAATGCTTGATCCAAAAACTTTGGATTCTCGGTGTAGATTGGGACGAAACGCCACCTATCGAAGTCGTCCGTTCATGGACTTCTTATTCCGATCAAGACGATGTGGTTTGCGGATTTGACGGCTTTGACGTTGCTCAAGAAGCAAAGACGCAACTTATCAAACTTTTTAACTTGGGTCGTTTTGAATTGCGGAAGTGGGTTAGCAACGAACCGCAGCTCTTGTCTGATTTGCCCATTGAACTACACCTACAAGGTTCAGTATCTCTTGACCAAGCGGAACCCTCGCCGTTGAAGGTTCTCGGCCTTAAATGGGACCCTTCATCCGATTCTTTTCTTTTCTCAGTAAAACCTGAAATTAAACCGTGCACAAAACGTTCTATTCTAAGCGAACTCGCTCGGATTTTTGATCCCCTCGGCTTTCTTTCACCAATCACAATCCAAGCTAAATGCTTGATCCAAAAACTTTGGATTCTCGGTGTAGATTGGGACGAAACGCCACCTATCGAAGTCGTCCGTTCATGGACTTCTTATTCCGATCAACTTCCGAATCTTGCTCATCTTCGTATACCACGCAAACTTACCTGTTCGAATTCAAAATCGTATGAACTGCATGGCTTCTGTGTAGTGACCGACCGAATATTCGTTTTCGTTTTCGTTTTCGGCCATTTTCGGCCAAAATATGGACATTCGGCCATATTTTCGTTTTCGGCCAAAAACCAGCCGAAGCTTCGGCCAAACCGAATATTAGAAATATGTGAATAAGATGATAAAATATAACGTTTGGATATCTTCGGAGTGAATGGGGTGCACTCATCGTTCCAATCAGACTTGAACGGCCGCGGTATTGTCACACTGTTTTGAAGTTGCGAAGTTAGGTTACGTTCCAAAGAGTTTTCATTAAGTTTAATTGTTTCAAAATAGTCTAATAATGCGGATTTGAAATACGCCATGAGTCACTGGTCGGGAGCCCACAGAGCGTTCGCAGTTGAAATGCGACGAATCACGGTTCGAGCGCGTGCGCGCAGAACTCTATTTCAGCAAGAAGGAGACACTGAGGACATTTGTTTTTAAAATAAATGATCAGCGAGTACAGGCACATACCCTAGCCGCCTCGGTCACCAATTCTCACACCATGCGAATTTTTCTTGTGGGGATATCTCAAGTCAAAAGTTTACAGTAACAATCCTCAAATAATTCAGGTTCTGTAAGAAAATATTCGCCGTGAAGTTGCAGGAAAATAACCAGCGCGCTTTGCTCTCGCGTAGTTGCGAATTTAAGGGTCCGGCTGTAAGAGTGCCTCAAGTGAAACGGGCGTCATTTGAACGATATTGCCTATGCAAAATAAAATCCGCATTGTTAAACTCCAAATTGAATAAATAATAACAAATAATTAGTTTTATTTGTTGTTGTCTACTTATTCATTTTTGAAGTTGAAATATTCTCGCTGGTCACCCTTTATTTCTTCTTCACTTGCTTAAATAAACTGATAAAACAATATTCCAGTATACACCGGAAAATTTCATTAAGAATTCATAATTAATATCTTTAATTTTTAATGTGCCGGTTTTCTTTAATTAATCCTAATCCAAATCCGTCCGTCAACTGTCAAACGTCAATATGTTTTTGATCAAAATATTTACGGTTTTCGAAGTTTTTTCGTGTTGTTTACAAGACTACTTAAACAATTTGAAAGTAAAAGCATCGAAAATTATGGATATTTCATCAGAAACAGATTGAAATTTGACAGTTGAAGGTCATTTTCGTTTTCGTTTTCGTTTTCGGCCGAAAATGGGACTGTAGCCGAAGCTTCGTTTCCGTTTTCGTTTTCGGCTGAAAATCCATATTCGGTCGGACACTACTTCTGTGACAGTTCCGAGATTGCTTATGGCGCTGTCATTTACTTACGCACAATTGACGAGACTGGTAACGTTAAAGTTTTTTTTGTTTGCTCTAAAGCTCGAGTAGTTCCTCTGAAACGTATTCCATTGCCTCGATTGGAGCTTTGCGCTGCAGTTTTATTAGCTGACCTATACAAATATGTTCGTGATACTTACCTTTCTGACATTCCCATCAATTCAGTTTTCTTGTGGTCAGATGCTACGATCGTTTTGTCCTGGCTTCGTTCCCATTCTTCTCGATGGACCACTTTTGTAGCAAATCGTGTAAGTCACATACAAGAAATCGCACCTTCTGAATGTTGGCACCACGTTTCTTCTGGAGACAATCCAGCTGACATCTGTTCTCGCGGACTTCTTCCTAATGAAATTTTAAATAATTCCTTATGGTGGGCGGGACCGTGTTGGCTGTCACAGGAGAAAGAGTCGTGGCCTTCTCANTTAAATTGTTCTACCTTTTTTAAAGGCGCACCATTGAGTTTTATAGATGGAATATTATCTGGACATTTTCCTCTACTATGAAAGACCATACACTCACTTTTCTTCGCGTTGTATATCAAACCATGGCTTTCAGCGTATCTTTCACATATTGCAATGAGTTTCGACAATCCACAGACAGAAGCACTCAGCAGCACCATGTCGTCCGCATAACTTATATTATTAAGACAGACACCGTCTATATGGCAGCCAACATGCGTACTACTGAGCTCCTCTATCAGGGCGTTCACGTAAAGATTGAAGAGCTTCGGCGAGGTCAACCCACCTTGCCTCACCCCGCACTCCAACCTGTACGGATCCGAGTATTCCCCGGCCCACCGAACCACGTTGACCTGGTTCAAGTACCAATATTTCAAAATATGCACTAAGTCACGTGACATAGACAGCTTGTCAAGTTTTTGCCATAGGATGTCATAGGAAACCAGGTCAAACGCTTTGGACAGGTCAAGGAAGCAGGCATATACAGGCGTACTGCGAACTGTGTAGTACTTCACAGTCTGCTTCACACTCAAAATGGCAGCTTCAGTAGACAATCCTGGCCTAAAACCGAATTGATTGTCATGCAGTTTAATATACTTATCAAGTTGAGTGCCAAGCAGACCATCAAGCACCTTAGATATAATGGTTGCCAGTGAGATAGGTCGATAGTTGCCTTTGTCACTTATGTCACCAGTTTTACACTTCACCACTGGAACCACCACGGTCTTCATCATGTCTGCGGGCAAATACGAGTGGCCTATGCACAAACTAAACAGCATTGCCAGTACTCTAGCTAGATGAGGTCCAGCGCATTTTAGATGTTCAACACTAAGGTCATCATGGCCAGGAGATTTTCCACGTGACATCGATTTAATAACTTCTCTGACACCCTTTGCCGTGATTTGTGTACTTGGCTCCCGACCATGCTGAATAAATCGAGATCCAGACTGTTGTGGTCCCAGCGGAGACTTTACAGTAAAATGGTCTCTAAACAAATTTGCTATGCATTTTCGGTCACTCACATCATTAACGCTTACAGGAATGCCAGGCTTATTATTTAACTTATTAGTTGACTTCCAAAAATTTTTAAAATCATTCTTGGCATGGTGTGATGCAAGTATGTCCANTCCAGATGGAAACACGAATACCTTAACTCTTTAACGCAACGCGCTAAATGGACCAAAGATTCAAAACCATTAGCTGTAGGATCGATGGTCATCATTAAGGATGACAATCGAGCGCCGTTACACTGGACCCTCGGTAGGGTACAGCAGCTCATTGCTGGAGCTGACGGAATCGTTAGAATCGCCATGGTTAAAACTGCAACCAATAACTTGATTCAGCGTCCATTGGTTAAGTTATGCCCTCTGCCAATCGAGGCCTAACTTAATTTCAATCTCGTATCGTATTCGTATCATATCGTTTTTCGTAAACTTAGTTTTAGTTTTATCAATAGTTTATCGTATATATCGTTTATCAGTCTTAGCGTTAGTTATTAACCAGAAAATACCATAGATATTTTGGTGGGCGGGATGTTCCGTCATCGTAACTTTTCGTTTAACTTTCATAATAATCGCGGGTATCGATGTCTCTGCATAAGTANAAAATACCCGCCGGCGGGGCGCTTCGCTGTAGGTAATTATCGGATGTACCGCGCGGAGTGAGCCAGGCCTGCCCGAGCGTCGTTGTGACGTCACGGCTGTCAGGTGCGCAGTTAACTCGTCCGGGTTGTAAGATGTGTAAACGGGTATTGATTGACCTAAATCTGATTTGGGTGAATGAGTGATAACAAAAATACATTATACAATTTTTATTGTTAAAACAATTTCATACAAAGATATCTTCCACATTATGTACACAAGTGAGACTGATGAAAGTTAAAAAATAAGTTTGCTCTAGAGACAATAACTTTTTATTCTAATTTCGGTTATTCCAGTTGATTTCTACAAAGATGATCACAAAAAGTGTATGCTAGATGTTTCAATCCTTATTAATATTTTTGGATTTATTATGTTATACAAAGTATTTTTTCTGAGTAAATGCTTTAATACAGCATTGATTTCAACAGGCACTGCTTGTAGTAAGTGACCAGACTCGCACACCTATGACCTAACGAATCAAACTATGTTATTTGAAAATAGCACTTTACAACTAACGCCATAAGGTTTAGTTTGATGTGTCCACGTCTGTACTACTTTACGACTCGATTATAGCAGCTGCCTTGTCCGACGCCCTAAAAATATGCGCACACGCAGTCTGTCAGCTTTATAATATCTATCACAATCACCACCATGCCATGGCAGGTTAATATTTCTGCTTACAATCTATGAGCCGTCGCTGGTGATATTAGTTATACAGGATGATGTTTTATATCAAAAATTCCGAAACTGATATAAAAGTACATATTTATGTAGTATATTATAACATCATTTTGAGTTAAATATTGTTCGGAAAAATAAATACTTCATTACTATCGCTAAATATAGAACTGTTGATTAATTAAACTTAAAACCTCGGTTGATAATTACGTAATTATAGCTATGACGTCAAATATTGAAAAATATAAGTTATACAAAGTTCATTAGTTTTATTAAAAACAGCCAGTTATAACTACAAATTACCCACAGTTTTCCAAAACATTCGTTTTCACCTAATTTCAAAACACCTTCATACATTTTAAGACATCCATTCGTCATAAATATAACATCAATTTATTATTACATCTAAAGTGGAGGTTGAATATAAAGTATGTAGTTCTATACTTTTGAATAAAACCAAAGCTTAGAGCCATGATAGTAAAATTATAGTTTTTTACATTTTTGAATACCCAAAAACCATAGCAAATGATTGTTATTCTTAACCTTTCGAAGCAAATTTAAACATAACTGCATACAAAAACATGCCATGCCATCCTTATAAAACAAAATTAAAGATTACTAAAATGCAAAATCTTTCCTAAACAAAAACCAACTTCATATAGAACCTCCGTTCGAACATCGAATACCATTTACAGCACAGACTATTCAATTTTGTTGGAAAATAGCATCTATTCCGACTACATAGATGCCACAGTTTACCTTGACGTGCTGTGGTCTGTACAATACATAAAGTTATAATCCTTAGGAATAGAGCAACAACCACGAGCTGTCAAACGAAACCGATTTTAGGATGTCATTTGTGTGTCAATTTTCAGGATTATTTCACTGTTTTGTAAATTATTAAATAAATCAATCACTGAACCTCATTTTTACCACAGTGTTGCTGCTAAAGCCCGGTCGCCGAGCACGTAGAATTTCGTCCAATGACCGCAAGCTACCCATCATTATCGCTCGCGCGTAATTATGTTGCTGTCGCGCTCGCACACTCATTGCGGCCGCCCGTCGCACACAGCTTGGGGTCATTGGACGAAATTGTACGTGCTCGGAGACCGGACTATAGTGACATCTCGTTGCTCTATTCCGCTAGGTATAACTTTATGGTACAATAGAGTGACCATGCGTTCAGTTGCCGCCGAGGACTTGGCCGCGACCCCAGTGATGTCCGCCGAACATGGTGTCGCCTGGTCGCGCGCGCTCGCCGCCTACCGCTTGGGGCGCGGTGCCGAAGCCTCCCACGAATCGGGAGTCGGGGAACATCCTTTTCCTGGTAAAAAATATGGGTAAATGTATAATTTTCTCTGAATTCCCTAGTTTCTCATGTTAGCGAGCGTAAGCTAACTGTAAAGCTATCTGGTACATATTAGATATTTATTTTAATTTATATAAACTTGAGTTTTAATAAAGCTTTATTCTACACTTCTACAGAGTCAAAAAATTGTTTTTTTCTAACTCTTTGCCTCTCTATCCTCTAGTCGTCTTGGTGCAATCCAAGCGTACCACATTATGCTGAGCAAATAGCATTTTTAGAACTTTAGGTTTAATTTTCAGACAAGATATTCTTTTAGTATTTTTTTCAGTGTTGCTTTAGTTGCTATTTTTTTTCTTTCTAAATCTTAATATTAGCATGATTGTGCGAATAGCAATTTATCCAAAATCCCAAAAAGAAATCGCTTTGCATCACGAACGCTTATGTAACAGCTTAGTTTAAGTATGTGGGCTGGTCAATAATACAAAATAAATACTTACAAGAAAGCAGGTGGAGTCAAGATGGCCGGGCCGCCGAATTCTTGCGGGTATTTGAACTGCAGGAAGAATGAGAGGTGACCGATGAGAATGCCCACCAGCTCCATTGCACCACTGGAAAGAAAATAGTTATAGATGATGTGATTTGAGTTACCGCAGTGTATTGTTCATATTCTTTCGAAATTTTATAATCTCGAAAGTGCGATTGTAATCTAACGGTTTTTACAATCTTACGGCGACATTTACATTTTCTAACAGAAGGTTGGGGGAGGCCTTTGTTCAGCAGTGGACGTCCTATGGCTGAGATGATGATGAACACAAGGTTTGTCTAATATAGAAAAAATTGTTTTACTATATTAGTAGCTTTTGCCTGCAGCTTCACCCGCGTGAAATTTTGTCTGTCACAGATCGACATAAATTATGTATTTAAGTTGTGCTAAGCCATTATAACTTTAATGTCCCAGTGACTCAAATTTCAATAGATAACCAGTTGTTCTACATTAATTTGTAAACCAGATAAGAGCTTTGAAATTGTACAACAAACGCATTCAGTCGCAATTTAATTACGTTAATGAATTTCGCTTTAATGTTGGTGGACATTGCTTGTTGCTAATACACAACATATTGACCGAAATGGGAACATAATCTCATTGGCCTATATTTTTAACCTGCATACCATGTTTAAAGGATTTGCTACGCCTACACTAGATACGGTCTGCTAACAGATTCAGATTTATTTATTTAATTACACAGGTTTCAGGCCATTATGCGGTCTGAATTTACTTTGACCGGGTTGCAGACCACATCCAGTGTGGCAAATACTTTATGCAAAAGAACTCTCCTTCTGGCGCAGTTGGGTAATAAACAATGTTTTATTTCTAAAGATGCCTCACCCTCCGCTAAGGATCATGTTAAACGCTAGCAACACCCAGGGCAGATACATCGCCTTGAAGCGCGTGCCGAACCAGAACGACACAACTACATCCTTGTTCAGCTGGCACCACACGTACAGCACTGACAGGACTAGCGGGTCCATGATCAACTGGAAAGATTAAGTATTTTGTATGAAATAGTGTTAATAAAACATGTTTTTAGTTAATTGTTACTCAGGCTAAAAACTTAATTTTACATTAAGAGTGCCTGATACAATACAATTAACAGACAGGTCCACACAAAAACAATCTATTAGATGTATTATTTTCTAATACCACTGATTCGTTTTTGGTATTAGAAAGGAATATAGAGAAAATGTAATTTAAACATTGCCATCAGGAACTTACATATCTTTACAGTGAAGAGTTTACAAAAAATTAAAGAAAGCAACAACACAAGTAAACAGTTGTAATTAACATCAATGAACTTACCGGCACATTAATCATCAGTCCGATGATAACGCAGCACACCCAGTTGAAAAGGAGCATGTACAAGTAGTCCGCAGGCTTGCCCTGGAACATTCCGGTCTCCAGCCGCTGCGAGTATGTGTACAGGAAGTAGCAGTTGATTAGGAAATGGAAACCGGTGCCTGGACCGATGGGGTAGTAGAACGCTGCGGTTAGCGGCCTCCATATCTGGAAAATTTTAGGATTTATGAAGAGACAATGAAACATTGTGATTAAGGTATTGCACTGCTTCTCCTTAGTGCTGCACCATATTATTGCTGACTAGCTTTCCGCCCGCGTCTTCGCCCGCGTGGAATTTTGTCTGTCACAGAAAAACAATATCGCGCGTGTATTTGCTCACCGTTTAGACCTACCCTGGACTACGACAAACATTTTAAAACCAAAATCAGCTCAATCGGCCCAGCCGTTCTCGAGTTTTAATCAGACTAACGAACATCAATTCATTTTTATTTATATAGATTTGGGAGCAGTGCTAGGGTTGGGATAATTATGTAAATAAAAGTGCACATTGTGAGCCTATTTACAGAAAATAAGTGAATTGTATTAATTTATCTCATACAAATAGGCAAATGACAAATAATACTCCGGTATCATTTTATTCTGTAATATCTAAAAGTCAAATTCTTTATGCACTTTTAACACTAAGAAAACACAATTCTCTCAGTTCTGCATATAGAAAGAAATGCTATTTACAGAAAGTAACAAGATATTACTATAATAAGAGAATAAAAACTTATGGATACTTTTGGCTGTAAGAATCTATAGGTACCACTAGAATGCTAAAATAAAGATGTAAACAAATTGCTTTGATTGATCTTGATTGATTTCTTTAAGATTACTTGGTTCCGATTTACTTAATTACATAGAAGTTGATAAGGTATCAATATGACATCAGCACTTACCTGGCACTCAAACACGAAGGGGTAGAAGTCGAGCAACAAGTAATAGGGGTTAACAAGTCCAAACCGGCCGATAAGGCTAAAAACTATCGTCAAAGTTAACCAAGTACGCGTAAAAAACGGCACATTCCTGTACCAGTCCTTAAACTCAGACATTTTTGTTGGTTTTCCTACAAAAACACAATAGCTCTACAGACACACTAACATCCACAAAACACTAAGTTTCAACACCCGAAACCACTTTGGTGGTGACTCTTTCGGCTTGATGAGCGCAATATTTATGTTGGTGATGAAATTAAACACAAATTAGAAGCAAGTACACGTGTCCTATGAGAATTTGTCCAGAAAATCGGAGAAGGATGATTTTTATTTATTTTGACATTTAAAATTAGGTGTTGCACTATTGGAAAATAATATTGATTGATTGATAATGATAATTGAAATAAAACACTGTTGTTTATTTGCAAAATTAACAAACAATTCCAAAGGATAAAGTATAAATTATCGATCTGCAGTTATGTCTTAAGAATAATTTTAAATAAAATAGCTTTGAAAGCTTTCCATCACTCATCTGTGCTTTCCATTAACATAATTTAAATGCTGTATATCTCCTAATTTCCTTTCCTTGTGTCTTCGTCTAACCAAAAATAAAAAAATTCAATGTTACCAGCTTAAAAGTTTTTGCAAAATTTAAGGGAAAATATCCACTTTGGAGAACTTTATATTAAAACAAAATCTGTCAATAATTTTTTTATAGCCTGACCAGGAACATAAAAACCCTCGCCATGTTGCGGAAAACTAATGGTACTAATTTCTTTTAATGGCAACAGTAACTGAAAACTTCATTGTCATGTCACCTTGCATGTCAGTCTATTGCTGTCAAAGTGTAAACAAACTTTATTTTAAATGTGCGCAATTGGTTTTATGAATTAAATTGCTAAAATATTTTTACTGTCGTGAAAGAAAAGTGGTTCACATTGTGTTAAAGTATTTGTCGAAGAGAAATACTAAGGGTTCGGACAATATTTTCATTTAATAATGTTTCCGACAAAGGTTGTCAAATTGACTGACATGTTTATCGTATAGTACAGCCCACTGTGAAAATTAGCTGTGGTTTGTTTCAACTACCTATTTTAAAGTTTTTTGTCACTTTCTCAGTTTTTAATTTTATTTTGAGTTTGAAGCGTTCATGAGCAGACATTGCAGTTGAATATTCAAGTTCTGAATTTGATTATTGATGAATAGTAGGGAATTTAGTGCAGGAACCCCTCCACTTTGGTATAGAAGGCTCATTTTTGCACCAGTTGTTCTTTGGGTGCTCCTGAGTAGATTTCCGTCGGTAGACATCGGGAGCCCCCCCTGTGGTAGCAGGGGGAGGGGGGGCAACTTTCCTTCTGCCGCGCTTCACTTTAAGGCCTATATCTTCAAAACTATGGGTATTAGGGCAAGTGTGGTATCATTTTCGGATAATTAAAGGATGGTGAATTCATTTCTAGAACAAACTTTTTGCCTTTTCATACAAAAAATTAGAAATATGGAGTAAAATTCACAAAAACCAAAAAGTATTTTTTTAAATAAACGTCGTTTACTTTTAAATCACTGGAGATAATCTAATAAAAAAAATATGTCCTGAAAGCTACATTTATCAGGATTATAAATATATACCATTGTATGGTACTTTTTTTGAAAAAAGTAGGTGAAAAAAATTTTTCTTCAGGACACAGCGGGCGAATTTTAATGCGCGTCGGATTGATGGTTTCATTTAATTTATTTAAATCAGGTTACCTATAATAATATTTTTCGTTAATTTATGAAAATATCAAATTAGCCCGTAATCCTGAATCCTGATACATAAAGTTAGCCTATTAATTTAACACAGGTACGACTGTACTCAGTGTTGCACTATGAAATGCAATTGACGCGCCTCTATGCCAGGGTTTTTATATTCCTGGTCAGGCTATATAATATTTTTTTGAAAGTAATTTAGATTATGAAAATTTAAATTTGCAATTCACAAACATTTTCAAAGTAGCGCTAGTAATAGAAAGGACTTGATATGACAAATCAACTTGACGAAGGGGCCCTGTTTTTGGGATAATACATAAATGATGGTAAAATGATTGGCAATGCATTGGTACCCCTACCAAATTTTGACATTTCCTCAGCTGTCTGCTGTCAGTCTTGCTTTTCAATTTTTCATTTTATTTTTCCGGTTTTCGCAAAAATGAGAAGCGTTTTCAGAAGATTACTTTCTGCTAGCAATTTGTCGTTAGTTAGGAGTAATAATGTACGCTATTGCTCAAAAGAAGTGGAGAAAAAGAAAGATAAGGACGATGAGGATGAAGTAAAGAAAAGTAAGGTTATTTTTGTTTTCTTATTTATTTACCTTCAAATTACTATGATAATTCGTTTTACATTACGTATTGGCTGATTATTACTTAAGCCTTATTACTTTTCGTCATCAAACAAAGTAGAAATTATGGTGTTTATATGAATACTGCCTCAGAAAGCATAATGTAGATTTTGTACTGTAAATAATTAAGTACCTACGTAGTTTGACCATAAAATATTTATTTATCTGTTTTGTCAGTACAATTTATTAAATTTCATCCCTTCTTCTCAGAAATAAGATTCTTTTCTCATTAATAGGTTGATATCAATGTACACGCAGTGTAGAATGTCTATATTCTTTTTTATATTTTTCAGATATCGTAATAGAAAAGTTTGGAGCCATTACCACTCTAAACATTGACCGTCAGCACACTAGGAACAGTTTAGATGAGGTAACTCTCCGTGAGATGACTGCTGCAATCGAAGCCTTCGATAAAGATGAATCGGCTAAAGTCCTGGTGTTCAATGGAGAAGGAGGCTCCTTCTGCTCCGGTTTTGATATAGACGAGATTGGGGAGAAAGGGTACAATAATGTTAAAGATGCAGCAGTAAGTATTATGCTTTATAAAAGGTATATTCCTTAGATCTAGGTTGCCCTAGTCCTTGTCCTTGACTTTAGATGATTTTATTAATGCATCTAGAATGTTTTTTTTTTCACAAATTCATGAAATGCCTTAAAAATAATTAAGCATACAATAATTTTATTGGTGTAAAATTTTAAAATATTATTTTATACTTTTCATTCTCAAGTCAAGTTCATATTAAGTTTATAATTACTGCAATCATTCAACGTCTATTCTCTGCATTTACAGTCGCGTCTCTTACGCCGCCCACTCTGTGACAAAGTGACCATAGCAGCAGTGTCTGGGTATGCAGTAGCCGAGGGCTTCGAGCTGGCGTTGGCGTGTGATCTGCGTGTTGTTGAAGACACTGCTGTGCTGGGATGCCTGGGCAGGAGATTTGGTATGAAGACAGTTATTTTTAAATTTATTTTGAGCCACAACTAAAAACAAAATATGTAAACTAAAATTATTTTGTAGATATAGTTCAACTTCAAAACCCTAAAACTGACTCTTTTCATCCCAAATCATTTCATAAGTCACCTAACTCATTTTTTCTACCACCAACAGATCCATATCACGTCCATTCAATTATTAAAGAGTTAAAAAATACAAGAAGTACAGGATATGATGACATTTGCGTCTTGGTGATAAAATATGTATCTAATATTATTGCCCCTGTGCTTTCCCATTTAATAAACCTTTGTTTTGAACAAGGTGTATTTCCAACACCACTAAAAACTACAATTGTTAAACCACTGTACAAAAAAGATGACAAACATAACATAAAAAACTATAGACCCATAGCGCTTGTACCGATCTTCTCGAAAATACTTGAAAAAGTATTATACAAAGACTTATATAGTTACTTTGAAAAGCAGTCGTTATTTGCTAATGAACAAAAGGGATTTCGTAAGAATAAATCAATAAATTTGGCGATTTACGAATTCCTCCGTCTGATATATCCTAGAGTTGATACAAGAAAACCTGTGTACGCTCTTTACATGGACATGTCAAAAGCTTTCGACTTCGTTGACCACAATATCCTACTGAACAAACTTGAAGCTTATGGAATCAGGGGTAATACTTGGGAATTGTTAAAGTCGTATCTGAGTAATAGAAACCAGGTTACATGCATAAGCAGAGTTTGTCCCAAGACTAAACAAGAGACGTATTTTCGATCGGCTGCAAGAAAAATCATATTTGGAGTTCCTCAAGGAAGTGTTTTGGGGCCACTTCTCTTCCTGGTCTATATAAATGACATTCCAAAGGCTATTAATTATCCTATGATTCTGTTTGCAGATGATTGTACAGCCGTATTTGACAACAAAGAAGATATTAATAATGGCTTAGTTTCTATAATTGAATGGTTGCAAAGTAATAATTTGGTTATAAATATAGACAAAACTAAAATTATGGAATTTAAGCAAAGAACGGAACGGACTCTCAATTTACCCATAGTGCATAGTGGCAAAGTAGTGGATTCAACTGAAACCGTAAAATTCTTGGGTCTACATATAGATAGCAATTTAAAATGGCAAAGTCATATAGATTTTGTGTGTAAGAAACTTTCCCAGTCATCATACAGTCTTTACCACTTATCAAAAAAAGTAAATCTCCCTGCGTTGGTCACGTCTTACCATGGCTTCGTAGCTTCCAGATTGAGGTACGCCATAATCTTTTGGGGAAATGCTACTAACTGGGATAGAGTATTTAGGTGTCAAAAAAAGTGTATACGTGCTATGTGTGGCTTGAAGAGAACTGACAGTTGCAAACCTCATTTTCAAAATTTAAAAATATTGACTATGCCATGCCTTTATATATTTGAGCTGGCTCTATTTATTAGACATAACCCTTCCCTGTTTAAAATAATACCGAGATCGCGTAATCGCAATATTCTTATAGCCGTTGATGGATGTGTGTCATATAAGACAGCCCTCTACGACATGGGTGTTTTTGCTATGGCTCCGAAAATTTATAATAAAATACCTAATCATATTAAAGAGTGCACTGATATCTCAATCTTTAAACAAAAGCTATTTATATTTTTGGTCAGTAACAGTTTTTATTCAGTACATGAGTTCCTACAATTTAAATAAAGTTTTTCTACAATTTCTTCCTTGACAATATTATTGACTCTAATATCCGATTGACTGCCCTGCATTAATTTATTTTAATCTTGCAATTTATTTAACTGACATTTATGATTTTGACATTTAATTTGCTCATTATTACTTTTCTATAACGTAATATTATACTTAAAATCACGCTTTAACATTTGTATGCCGACAAGGCTGATCACGGCTTGAACACATATTTTGTTTGTACATCATACTCCTTACCTGTGTTTCACAAATAAATTATTTGAATTTGAATTTGAATTAAAAACCTGATTAAATATTAAATACAGGGATGATTATGATATGACTTCCCAAAATAATCTAACACATACTGGCAGAATAATGATTAAATCTAGCGTTATAATACTGTCATTATCCCTGTATTGCAGGGTCTAGCTAGTATCCCAATCACAATTTATGGAAATGCTTGATAGAAAATCTCCCATTTCATTCCATCTTTGACAGTATGACTTCCCAAAATAATCTAACACATACTGGCAGAATAATGTTTAAATCTAGCATTATAATACTGTCATTATCCCTGTATTGCAGGGTCTAGCTAGTATCCCAATCACAATTTATGGAAATGCTTGATAGAAAATCTCCCATTTAATTCCATTGTTGACAGTATGATTTCCCAAAATAATGTAACACAGGCAGATTAATGATTAAATCTAGCATTATAATACTGTTATCATCCCTATATTGCAGGTTCTATCTAGAATCCCAATCACAATTTATGGAATCTACCATTTAATTCCATCTTTGACAGTATGACTTCACAAAACATGTAACACATGCAGATAACGTAACAGATGGCAGAAAAATTTTAGCATCAAAATCTCTTTATACAGGGGTTCCCCAAGGCATGTTTGGTGGCAGGAAGCTGACTGCACTCATCGGTCTGTCACGAGCGCTAGACTTGCTGATCACTGGCAAGCTGATTACTGGGACAGAGGCACACCAGTTCGGACTTGCGTCTAAGCTCACGGCTACTGGTACAGGTTGGTACTAGAATATTTTACTGCTGACACTGTTTTGTATCAAAAAACTAATTTATAATATCATGCTAAGAACAATTTAAAAACAGAGATTTTAATTTATAAATTATAATTCTTTATAGTGGTTCTAACTTTTAATAAGTGTGTAACACAAAATCACAAAACTTGTTTTATAAAAAAATCTTTCCTGAAAATAATTCTGTATCTTCTCTTATTTAATTAACTTTGTAAATAAATGTACTTGTCTTCGTTATGAACGCATATTTTCGCATGAGTAGACTATAACAAAACAAATATTTTACCTGTTACAGCATTAGGCGAATCAATAAAACTGGCCAAATCTCTCTCGAAGTTTCCACAAAGCGCGCTCATAATGGACAAATTAGCCGCAGTGAACTCGCAACTCAACCCCAATAGTGAGGAGAGTATGAGAGACGAGGCCGTCATGACCAGCCTGTTGGGAAACGCCATAGATGACATCAACCAGGGCGTCAAGAAGTTCCAAGGAGGTAATGTTCTTAAGAACTATGGTCTAGGGCCTTTTTTCGTCAAATAATATAAACATTTAATTTGAGTTCTAATGTGAATAGCTAGACTAGAATTCACTGCCTGCTGATATCTTTCCCGAACCCTCTTTTTATTTATTTATTTATTGTTAAAGATTTACCCACAACATATCAATTTACATGCATCGTTACATTAGAAAGCTAGAATCTAAAAGATATGCCTTTACAGGTAAATACAGCATTCAAAGAAAATAAGCTTGCCGACAGAAAAAAAAGAACAGATTTTAACCAATTAATCTAGGTAGTTACACATAGAAGAAAACAATTTTTTTTAACAAAACAATCGAAAAGGCGAGAGCGAATAGGCATTTACTGGGTAGATAATATACCGCTCTAGACCTGTTTGTTCGTTGCTTTCAGCTAAATGACGTCCACTGCTGGACAAAGGCCTCCCCCAAGGATTTCCATAATGACCGGTCCTGCGTTACCCGCATCCCACATCTAGACTTGTAGATTTACGCTTAACATAAGGTGTAATTACAGACAAAAACCTGCCTTTTGCGTAAAAAAACGATTTTATTTTTAATCCACAATGAGGAAGCTCTTGGCCTGTATCTCACCTGATGGTATTGGTAAGTGATGATCAGGCCGAAGGTGGAAACGAGCTTCACCCGGAATCCTCAACCACGGAGGAACTGCATCATCATAATGTCTTAAGAGTCAGCTTATTGCAAGAAATCACTAAGCGACCAAAATCAAATAAAGAGAAATCAGTGCTACTATAACTAAAAAGAAATTACACTTACAGGCATCGGCAAACACGGCAAGTTCTACAAACTGACTGAAGTGCCCCTCAAGGACTGGGAACTAGAAGATACGTTTGAAGAAGTAACAGTGGAACACGTAGACTCCCCTGCAGAACCCCCCAAACCCACCGAGACTAAAGAAGACGCTCAGAACAAGTGTGATAAGTTTACAGAAGAAAAGAAAAAGTCGTAAACTAGTATTAAGATTACGGTTAAGTTTTTGTATTGTTTTTTAACTTAATGCCCTCTAGTCAACCGTTTTGGTTTAATAAAGTTAGTTGACTAAGTTGAAACTGTTTTTTATTGTTGAAACTTGACCAAAAGTTTCCTCTAGACATGGGACTCTAGCCTGCAGAGTTTAGAGATCAAAGGTGTATTCCACATGGCTAGGTTGTCCAGGAAACAGTCTAGTAGGGATTTGTAAAATTTCCAGTTCCACTAACTTGTAAATACGCCAATGAGAATCGCTGACGTTTGACGGTCACAAAAACATCCTCCCCGTGCCGCTCCCACACGATGTATTCAAGTATTACATCCATGGGCGCACCCGTGGAGGGTTAACTGCCCCTCCCTGGAAGTTGCTTTGAAGGAACTAAGTCAAACTGTGACTTAAAAAAACACGATATACATTAAAAACCATTTATTTCCAAAGCCCCATCTAGTCGTCCTCCTGCCCCTTCTCGGCGCGGTACTTGTAGTGCAGCGTGCTGCAGTCTTCGTTGGACACGTTGACCCAGCCCTGCTCGCTGATGTGGTACACGCGGATGATGCCGCCCGAGCGCCGACTACCGACGACCGTTAGTGCGAGATATGGAAGCGGCACGGGAGAGGTGACATTGACATATTGTGACCAGGGCCGGATCTACCTATGGGCTGATTGGGCTGCAGCCCAGGGCCCCGGGGTTACAAGGGGCCCCCAGATCCCGCTAAAAAGTAGGCCATAATTTGAAAAAAAAAAAAATTGTCTGTAAAGTCGGTTTACGGACGATATTTTTACGTGACAACGTCATAAGAAAATATTGATTAAAATTTTTCTTTTATACAATACATCTCTATTTCGATTTCTCTCTCACCTAAAGGTTACCTGGAAGAGATTGCTACACAACAATAAGGTCACCTTTTGTACAACTAATACTTGTGTAGATTTAAGTAATATTTATGTTTTTTGTGCAACAAAAAAATATATGTATAAGAATATTAAGAATAATATACTGGTCATCACAAAAATCGGCCCACCTACGTTTTACAGGAAAACTCGTTTCTACTGACGCAATCATGGTGCCCCAACAATATTGGTGTTTTTTGAAAGCCCAATAAATATCCTTAAAGAAAAACACATTAATTGTTTTAATAAACGATTAACATAAACGCGATATACAATAAATGTGACTTGAAAAAAGACCTCACTTTGGGCTCACCTCTGGGATCAATTAGACCAATTTTTATGGTTATAAAACCAAATAATTCAATTCAATTCAATTTATTCATTTAAAGATAACAATGATCCACATGGTTAGTAAATGGGTGCCTAATACAACTATGTTAGTAATTTATTTATTATAACATACCACTAATTATCCAACCCGTTCGGTAAGAAGTAGCCGAAGGAAATGTCGGATAATAGGAGAGTCATACCTCTCCGCCACGGTCTTCAGGATACTGTTGGGACTCGCCCGTATCCTACTGAGCAACGAGGCAGTCTTCTTGCGTAGGACAGCAAAGAAGCCGTCAGTATGCGACTGAGAAAACATTTCCGAAGCACTGCAGAAGCGAGGCAAGCCCAACAGCACCCTGAAACCATTGTTATATTGGACCCGAAGGACGCTAAGCGATTTCTACGAGTACGTAGTCCACAGGTTCCCCGTGTATAGACTCTGACAGCATGCTTTAAACAGAGTGATCTTGACATGGTCATTACATCGGGCAAACCTGCGGGCCAACATTTATTACACCTTACTGCCAGCGCCCTTCGTTCCCTCTCGATATCAACATGATCTTTAAGGTCATCAGTAACGTAGTGTCCGAGATATTTAAATTTAGTGACTCTGTTTAACTTTACCCCATTCAGCAAGAGGTCGGGTACCACGTTTGAACATTTACTGGCGGCTTTAAATATCATGTATTCGCTCTTCTTCACATTATACAATTTGCCATGGCATTTAGCATACGCTTCACACACACACCCACCATCTTTCTGAGAGCCCCTACTGTTGGCGCCAGCAGTACCATATCATCAGCGTAGCTTATGTTGTTGATACAAATACCATCTACCCAGCATCCGATACGCATACTGCTAAAGACAACAATGAGGTCATTTACGTATAGGTTGAAAAGCCTGGGAGACGTCAGCTCACCCTGTCTCACCCCGCACTGCAACCCATACTCCTCAGAAAAAGCGTTAGCCCATCTTACGCGGTTAATTTGGTTAGCATACCAATAATGGAATATTTGTGATACTTCAGACGGTACGCCCTGCCTCCTCATCTTATCCCAAAGGATATCATAAGACACAAGATCGAACGCCTTCGGAACGGAGAGGTCGAGGAATTATGCGTAAATGGGAGTTCCCCGATCCGTGTAGTACCTGACAGTGTGCTTAAGACTAAGGATGGCGCTCTCGGTCGACAGTCCAGGCTTACACCCCAATTGAGCATCATGTGATTTTAAATATTTATCTAGTAGAGAGTCAAGCACACTGTCAAGGACCTTTGCCGTGATTGTAGCTAGAGAGATCGGAAATAATGATCTCACGTGTCCTCTTTAACAGATGGATATTAATCCCAACTTAACAGTTTTATAGCCATAAAAGTTGGCTCAATCGTAACTACCTTGTTTTTGAAGAAGTGACTCTGGGTTCTTCTACAGATACATTTTTGGGGTAAAAACCTTTCCCTAATTAAATGAAGTTTAGAACTAGGCTTTTAAATGGTGCCAATATTGGTGGGAAGTGGGAATGCATACGTTTGAAAGTGCTTGTCGCGGGAGGGTCGATTTTTGTGATGACCAGTGTATATCATTATAGAAACAGTTTTTGGCATGGCTATTAGTTGAGTACTATGATAGGCCCCCAAGTAGTTTCAGCCCAGGGCCCCACAAATTCACGATCCGGCCCTGATTGTGACGTCACAGAGCATGCATAACTGAAGATCTGAAGTATCGCTGACGACGTTTGACCGTCACAAAAACACCCTCCTATCCCGCTCCCAATTACCAATAGAGCGCTCTGAGTCAGTGCTTGACTCGGCTAAGATAGACCTATAGGTAAATTGTGTTTATTGTATTCAAGTATTACATCCATGGGCGCACCCAGGGGAAGGTAGTTGATGGAAGTCGTTTTGAAGGAAAGGAAGGAAGGAAAAAAAACACGATATACATTAAAAACCATTTATTTCAAAAGCCCCATCTAGTCGTCCTCCTGCCCCTTCTCGGCGCGGTACTTGTAGTGCAGCGTGCTGCAGTCTTCGTTGGACACGTTGACCCAGCCCTGCTCGCTGATGTGGTACACGCGGATGATGCCGCCGGAGTATGCGTCATTGACATATTGTCGGAGAGGTGACATTGACATATTGTGACGTCACGGAGCATGTAAATCAAGGGGATCTGAAGTATCGCTGGCGTTTGACCGTCACAAAAACACCCCCCTATCCCGCTTCCAATTAGGCGGTTATCACACTGCGCCGCGGTACGCGGGTCGACAGATTTAATCATTGTATGCAAGTACTTCAGTTTGTATAGAAAACACGCGCGGCACTTCACACTGCGTCTGCGCGCGGGATTTTTTATATAAAATCACGCGCTCCACGACGGAGTAGGGATGTTCCGATACCACCTAAGTATCGATACCTACTCATTTCGATAATACTCAAATCTTTTTTCGATACTACTTAAATAAGTACTCCTAAAGTATCGATACTTACTGATATCGATACTTTTTGGAACTTTTATTTTGTTTTATTATTTTGAAATTACTTGTAAACAATCACTTAACACTTGGCGGAATGGCGAGATGATTTATTGCGGGCGGGTGCGGGTGTCTCCTTCTCTCGCTTTCGGCTCGGGCTCGGCTGAAGTCGGACGAATTCGGCTGGCCCAGCGCGAGACAACGCGTCACTCACGCCGCCACGCGACGAATACCGGTAACTCGGTAACCGATTAAAGCTGATTAGCTGACTGTTTTTGCTCTCTCAGTTCTGTATGATGCGTTCTCGGTTTTTTTTATTGTTTTCGGTTGTTTTGCTGATTCGATTCGATACCAAGTATTTTTGTTTCGATACCGATTATGTATCGCAAAATTGATTCGATACAATAAATACTTGGTATCGAATCAAAAGTATCGAGTACCTACTCGTATTTATTAGTATCGGAATATCCCTACGACGGAGCGCGGCGCGGTGTGATAACCGCCTTACCAATAGAGCGCTCTAAGTCAGTGCTTGACTCAGTTAAGATAAACCTATAAATTGTTTTTTGTATTCAAGTATTACATCCATGGGCGCACCCAGGGGAAGGTAGCTGATGGAAGTCGCTTTGAAGGAAAGGAAGGAAGGAAAAAAAACACGATATATATTAAAAACCATTTATTTCAAAAGCCCCATCTAGTCGTCTTCCTGCCCCTTCTCGGCGCGGTACTTGTAGTGCAGCGTGCTGCAGTCTTCGTTGGACACGTTGACCCAGCCCTGCTCGCTGATGTGGTACACGCGGATGATGCCGCCGGAATATGCGTCGCGGTGCGTCGCGTGGTAAATCGCGCGGCGGCCCAGCTCTGGGAATATATAAATTACAATAAATAAATATTCTCTGGAAATAAGGGACCAATAAATTACGTCACACGTGGGGGAGGCAGAAGTTGACGAAGTGTAACATTGTGTGACAAGGGGGTGGGAATTTCGGAATAAATTTCTTGATGTAAAATATGTGAAGACACTAGGGGAGGGGGTCAAAAATCATAAAATTCGTGTGACGTATATTAAGGATGGCCCCCTAAGATCCAACAACATGTATAAATAATTTTATATTACCAAGAATTATACTTTTATGAGCTTGTCATGCCTGTCACTAAATAAAAGAAGATTTTTGTATACAAAATTAAATGGGATGTCTTAACACTCATGTTTGTAAAAAAAAATTTAGTTTGTTGAAGGTTCTTTTGAATTTGACACTATAATGACACAGACCACAACTGTGTGACACTAATTTTCTACCATTACATTATTTATTGAACTATTATTTATCTTTATCAACCCCTCCCAAAACTGTTATTTGGTATCACAGCAGATTAGTTTCAAACAAATCAATTGCTTTTGAAATAAACCAAACATTACCCTGAGCTTCCAAGTCAGACAGGTCCCAGCTGTATCCAGAGTCGAGGACACCAAACGCGTACACCGACCCGGAGCCGACTGAGAAGACCTTGCCTGGCGTGCGCGTGCCTTCGCTGTCCACGTAGTACAGCTGAGCTCCCTGCAAGAATGAGATAAAACTTTATTGACACACAAAAAGTACATAAAACAATAGATTAAGTAAGTAATTAGCAGATTACTCAGCATTTTATTTTTTGAACTTATGATGTTGTGCAGTTTAGTTATTCAAGTTTCATAACAAAGATACAATTTTCAGGTTATCTTTTATGCAAAACAAGGCAGATATTTGACCACAATCGCACCTGGTGTTAAGTGGGATGCAGTCTAGGATGGTACATATCTGCCCTATAAGTGCCTATTCACTCTTGCCTATGTTATTATGATGAAGTGACTTGCAGTTTTTAAATAAAGCTACTTTTAACCGATTGAGTCCCAGACGGCATTAATTAATGTCATAACAATTGATTATCTATTGTGTCTAGATTCGCGGAGCTTGAAGGATTAAATATAACAAATTCAAATTTCAGTTTTGAGCAAATAAATGTTTTGAATTTTAATTTGAAAAGCTTGTAATATCAATGTAGTGTTTCTTACCCTCTTATCAATCCCAGCCAGCATCATTCCCATGCTAAGCCCCATGCCTTTGTAGTTGTACACCATATTGGCCATGAGCTTGCTGGCGGCCGCCACCGAGATGCGCTCGCGGTTCCTCAGCTCGTAGAGGCGGCACTGCTTGGCGAGGACGCGGTCCCAGTACACACAGTCCGCTGCACCGCCGGCCAGTGTTCCTGAGGAAGGTGGTTATATGTTTCAATGCCACTCCAGGTTACTTTACACCAGTGTTTTTCAACCTGTGGGTCGCGGAGCCTCTATAGGGGGGTCATGAGAGGTCGTAAAAACCACCTCAGTAAAAAACATTAGTTATAAAGACAGATTTATCCGAAATCTAACTATGAAAATGCATTAAAATGTTGTATGGATTGAAGTATTCAGTCCCTACAAACATTTTTATAACATTATAAAATGCATGAAAAAAAAGCGAACGGTTGGGGGGTCGCCAAATATTTTTTTAAACTAGGGGGGTTGTGTCATGAAAAAGGTTGAAAAACACTGTTTTACACAAACTGAGTTCTAGGAAAGAAAAATACATAAGTTTACCATGATGATAATGAGGGATTATTTTTATGCAGACAATAAATAACAATTTTAGAGCTGGCTGGCGTAAGTTATCTTTAATAGCCATTTTTATAAACAGGACATTCAGGCTAATGGCAATAGGCAACTAACTGTTGAGCATTGAATGTAATTGTGGGACATGAAAAGATAGTGTTGGATCTAAGTAAGTTTGGAAAAGGGCTGTGTGTTATATCAATGGAGGAGATTGATAGATGGACTTTGTTAGAAGAAAGGGAAAATTTTACTTACCAAGCAAATAGTCATTGATTTCGACAATCTTCTTCATAGATTGTGAGCCGATGAACTGGCCGCCAGTCGCTCGGGAGTCCACCGCCAGTAGCACTCCACCCTACACACAAAATAAACAACTGAATAACAAAAACTTAGAAAAAAAGAGTACTTTTAGCTGCATTAAAAAAAACTGTACATTTGTCTTGTTAATCTTGTCTATTGTCTTGAATTAGGCTATAAAGTGCAATTTTTACTTACTTTGTATCTAAAACCAAGAGTTGTGGTCCCATGGTCGAACTCAATTTTGATCTGTTTGCCGGTCTCATCTTTTGTGTTGAACTGGGCCAATGTTTCAACAGGCTGAAATCAAACGATAAACATTATAATAATGGTTATTTTATGATCAATTTTAGAGAAAATAGCAAAGTAACCTTACGTTTGCAAATGGAGGGGTCGCAAGTTGGTAGCCGTTGTCGAAGTTCTGGCTGAATCCCATCACATCATTTTGAAAAGAGGCAAGCGAGTCCACGGGTTTCAAGTTAATCTTTTCATCCAAGCGGCAAATATCCAGTAAAGCCATTTTAATTTCACAAATAATACAAAACTTTGTTGGATGACAAGCGAAAAACGCCGATTTTCAGAAATATGATTTGACAGTTTTATACCTGACATTTATGCTTTTTTAGGTTTGCGAAGCTAGCACAGGGCGACTGGAAACATGGAGTTAATAAATCGTTTAATACGTTAATTTATTTTTCTTATTTTTCATTTAAAATAGTTATCATAATGACTTAAATAAATAATTAAAATTAAATTGATTTAATTCAATTAAAGTGTAATATCTGTAATAGAATAGTATAATGCTTAGACTGCCATCTCTCGTGATAAAACAGTACTACATGTATATCAAATTAGTTTTCCTACTCCATCATAGATGTCGCTATGCACCATAACTCTGACATGCTTGATTTAGCATCATTGCATTTTGTCATCTACTCCCCAATAGATGTCGCTACTCGTAATTTTATAAAATTAGACCGTGTCTCAAAAAAAAAACTAAGCCGGAGCTTATTTTTTATTTTATTTTTGTTGCAAAAATATGCATTCGTATTTATTAATATTCAAGTTTTAACAAAATTGTAGGTAAGCAATAGTGCTTAGACAGAGACTTTCGGCATAGAGGATCCGGGTTCAATTCCTAGGTGGGGCACATTTATATAATGCAATAATATCTATTTTTGTTGAACACTGCGGGCTTGAATTAACCTAATTATTCGTAAAGAAGATGAGTCTGTGCTTTGGAGAGCACATTATTAAATCATGTTTGAATTGTATTAATGTGGCTCCAGTATTGATAAACCTTACACCGCTTTATTAATCTAAGCCTACACCATAGAATATGTAGTTAAATAACAATAGAAGAAAAATTTGAAATAAATGTCTGCCCATTAACTAAGCATCTTATACTTAGGTACTGTACATACATCTAACATTAATAAAATAAGTATCATAAATTAACAGTTACAAGTTCTCGAGATACCCATAGGTCAGAATTATAAAATTCAGCGAATGCGAGCGCTATAGTTAATGGCGGAGGAGTTAGTAAGGCTATCATTACGCGCTGACTCACAATTCATCGATATAATCTTATTGGTGGCATTCTGTTGGACCTATCGCTAAACTAAGATCATAATATATCTTTCTTAATATTCTTACCTATCTTTTTAGCAGCAAAGACTCATTTTCAGTTTCGTAGTTTTAAACTCGGCAAATTGTTGAATGAGTGCACCACCTAACTTTGACCGTAACAATAACGATAACCGGTGTTTTTTGTATTTAGCCTGACAGATTTTTGTCGTTTCTTAAGATGGTGCAATCGTTAAAAAATAAGACAGAATGTGGACATCGATACTTAAAAAAATATTTAAAAAACATTTGCTCCTTATTAATTTTCTTAAAATGCTCTTTATTAAACTGAAGCCACTCTGTCACCAAACATTTGCTGTACTGTGGCGTATCGTATATAAACGTATCTATATAATATGTAACTAGCTGACCCGGCGAACTTTGTTCCGCCTTAATGGCAATAAAAAAGCAGACTTTTTTTTTATTTCGAACGGGATAAAAAGTATCCTATGTCCTTCTCCTGGCTCTAAACTACCTCCCTGACAATTTTCAGCTAAATCGGTTCAGCCGTTCTTGAGTTATAAGTGGTGTAACTAACACGACTTTCTTTTATATATTTATGTAATGTAATATACTAATATTATAAATGCGAAAGTAACTCTGTCTGTCTGGCTTTCACGCCTAAAAACCACTAAACCGATTTTGATGAAAGCCACAGAGATAGTTTGAGTCCCGGGAAAGGACATAGGATAGTTTTTATCCCGGTTTTGAAACAGGGACGCGCGCGATAAAGTTTTTCTGTGACAGACAAAATTCCACGCGGGCGAAGCCGCGGGCGGAAAGCTAGTTTTAAACTAAAAGAGTTAAAAGCTTTTTTAAAATTTGCACAACCGAATCGGAACCATTGATCTTTAATTCAAATTACTAGTTTAACTTCTGTCATTACTTACTGGGGGTAGGGACGCAGCCATTCGTACAGTTTTAGCGATTAAATTGATAAATTGTAGACATTTGTAGAGCCATATCTATTCGTTATACGGTTTAATAGATTCTTATCATTCTAAAGAACGGCGTTACTGTAACTAAGGTGGTTATTATTTTATAGTTATCTTTATGAACTTCAATCAGAAGTAGTACCTTACAAGGAATGCGGATTCACGAGTTTCGAAGCTGTTACAAAGTTGCAAGTTGTGTTTACCATTGAGAAATAAGTAATTGAGCAAATTGCTTAGAGTTTAGTCGTTAATCGGTTCCCTGTTCAAGAACGTTTCATAAGTTTTATTGTAGATCAAAATCCTGGAGTGAATAAAATCCTGACGTGATCAAAATCCTGCTGCAGATTCTAAAAGGTAATTATTACCTAAATAATGTAGAACCTTTTCTAGATTTATCGAAGATGAGATTATAGGTAAGTACTACTCTCTCTACTCTCTACTACGTAGAGATTGCTTTTTCTCTTTAATTCCTAGTGGAGTTTTAAGTGTGGAGAAAATATGTAAAACGTTACTAAACAATTTAACCATACACTAGTTACACTTCAATGCATTTGTAGAGTTCTTTCGCTAACTCATCTCCACTTTATATTCATAACCTCGAAATCTTTTACAAGTAACATCCAAATAAATACTCAACAATCAAACCGATTCCAAATCCTCGCACTTACACGCCTTGAAACATGTTAATCCATCACTTAAGCTCTCTAATTTGGGTCTCAGCAGTCTTCCCGATGTATAACAGGCATTAGTGTGGCCAGACAAATTCAAAATTCGTGAACTTCACCGCCGTGGCAGTCACGACCGGCCAGTCAAAGTCCAAGAGTGCATATTTAACAAATGGTAACCTAGTCCGACGAAAATGATAGCCCAAAACTCATAATTGCAAGTTTTAGAGGTTCACAGTATCACAGTTACACCGGAGTGTAACAGAACGTTCTTTTTCAAATGATATTACAATGCCTTTGGAACTTTTCAGGAGACTTACTAGAAACGTATCCTACCGAAACTTTGAAACAAAACTATGGGCATGGGATGAGAAAATGCAGCGGAAGAAACTCAGCTTTTTATTCGAATCGATCTTAGTCTGACTCTAGCAAATTAAATATGAAAAACTAAAATAGTACATTATTAATATTGATAATTAAAATTATCTCCTTTAATTTTGACGATAGCAAAGGGTTGATATTTAAAATGCTCGTAATTACGGCGCGTTTAAATATTGATATTAATTTAATTGACTAATTGATGTTTAACTAATGGATAACGATCGGATAACAGAGAGGTTATTTACTCTGCCTTTTTTCAGGTGAATTATAATATGTGTACATAAGGCACTCTGAACGAAATTAAATAAATAAGAGTTAATTTTTTAATCAACTGATAACTTTTTTCAGTCGAATAAAATAAACATTTTGAAATTATTGTCCATTTATACTGGCAATTAGTTAAGTCGAAACTTATCTGAATTGAAAAATTGGCTTTTTGTTTCTTATTTTCTTTTGACAGGGAATCTTTATCTAGACAGTAATTGTATTTTCTCAACCCAAACTGAAGAAATGATGTACCTATGAACCTTTAAATGCCTTATGGACTAAGAGCCAGTGAACGCCAGACCTTCGTTATTTTATAAAAGCTGAAAGTTTGTCAGCGCATGCTCCCAACATAGGTGAGAACGTCAAACCATCATGAAGTGTAGGTCATTGTGGCTTTGGGGCAGCTACTTTTTATGATCTATCTCTACACAAAAATTATAAGTTAAACCTGAAAACGACAGACAAACGTTACCTTTTTGTAATTTTTGTAATAAATTGGTGAGTGGACAAAGGTCTTAACTAACAAAATGAGTGTTTGAAAATGTTAATCTGCTCATACCACATTTGAATCCTGAAATGTATGAATGCTTGTCAGATAACAACTTTGTTAAGGTTTAACACGTAACTAAATTGTGTGTTTTGAGCTCATTAGTCGATTTTATCATCACAGAAAACCTATGTTCATGCAAAAAAGACGATTCTTCAGTTTTGTCAGATAACACCTTTGTCCACTCACCCCTTCAATTACGAGTCGGTGTGAGCGTAGGCCACAGTTGGCATATACTTGACAGTTGGACTCTCCTGAGGTTCAGAACGTTAGGCTGTTCCCATGGGGGCGTCACGCGATCCATGGCCTACCCTGGTATTCCAGTGTGGTGACCATGGAGTTTCAATGTATCAGGTTGTATTGGACAAGTGGAAGTTCTGAAGGAGACAACTCTACAAAATGACATTGTTAATTATTGTTTTCGTAGCAATAAACGGTGCAGTCCTGTTGTCCCCCCTGGCTAGGGGAGACAACAGGACTGGATTATCAATCAATGATTTGAGGACTGTTGTCCCCCCTGGCAAACATTGAGTATTTAGAAGCCATATATTTTTATAACATTTAAGATGAACTGAAAATGGAGTACCTGACTGAATGCCATACTTATTGCCAAACTAAATACCTAAACGTATGTCAAATAATAATTATCATTTTGTTAACGAAAAAAATATAAGTAGTTGGTACCGGTACTATTTCTGACTATTCCAAAATCTGCTTTACTTGCTTTTAAAAAAATCTTAATGAATTATCCCTACTAAATAATATTAAGTAAATGCGAAAAACTTTATCTGTATTTCTTTTATGAATTCACGCCTAAACCATTGAACCGATTTTGATATTTGGTAAAGAGATAGTTTTGAGTCCCGGGAAAGGACATGGGATAGTTTTTATGCCAGTTTTTGAAATAGGAAGGCGCTCTTATATTTTTTTCTGTGACAGACTAAATTTTACGCAGACAAAACCGTGGGCAAAAGCTAAGTTAACGGTATGCTATTCACATGTATAAAAAATATTATCTTCTGTAAAGTTTACTAAAAATCCGTTTAGTAGTTTTTAAATAGGTACGTGAAAGTAGATAGGACGCTAAAACTGCATAATTTTAAATTAATCATAATATTCAACACTTGCTCAGTGATTCAACTATCGGCCGCCCGCGAGTTCGTATGCGTGGAGTCCGT